CTCGATGTCGGGTGAGGCTTGCTCCATCTGGTCTGCCCAGCTAGCAGCGGGGGCTTCGACTGCTGAATCCTCATCTTTGTCTGACTGAGCCGTCTGGCTGGATTTGGAGAGCAGTGGGACTTGTCGGAAAACAGCAGTTTCCCCCAGCATTTTCTCCAGGAATTTCACTCTCCTCTCCAGTGTCGGACGCGAAAGTCCGGCACAGGCCCGGCAGGACTCGGGCTCCACAAGTGCCCGTCGAGCCTGAATGATTCCTAGGCAGGCCGGGCAGGCCTCATGCTGGTCCTCCTCATGAAGCTTAAAGCCGCACCCCTGAGGACAGGGGCGAACAGAAGACTTTGGCTTCTTCAAAGGTGGTTTTGTGCTCAACGTGAACCACAACACAGATTTTCAGCAGAAAATAAAGGTCACTTAAGTAGCGTCAAGCGGCAGACACACGAACCAGCAGGTAACGCGGTTAGCACCAGTAAAGCTAGCCTAAGAACCTTAGAAGCTGAGCTAACTAGCAGCAGCTATGTGAGCTCAGGTTTAGAGGTGACTATCGCGAGGTGAAGGGCGATAGAACCGAGTAATGACGCTGGTGACTCCGAACTTATAGGGTGAAGGCRGAGCCTGTCACCCGACGTTCAACGTCACCACGTCACCGGTCTAAAGACGTGATTAGAGGTGGCTTCAGCCAGGCGCGAGGGCGCGCATATCCCATATACAACTGTGTGTTGTACTGAGTGAAATGACTGAAAAGGAACCCAGGTATGTAAACTGATGTGGCAGTGACTGGTTATCAGAAAGTTGTGGTTTTGTTTTTAAAACACGGGTGCAGGTAGAGCATGTGCAGTTTAAAATTAGAGAACCACCAGCATCCAATCATTTAATACTTCATGGTTGCTGCACAAAAAGCGTTTAATTACTCTTCATTTTATTCTGTTGTGTTGACATGAACTAACGCATTAAACGTTAATGGCCTCTTTTACAAATGCACTTCAGAGTTTTAATAAATTGTTAAAGTGCCGATCTTTGTGAATGCCTAAGAATTAAAACATAAATTGCATGTTTCTATTTCTAACATTTTTCTCTGAAAACAAGCAGGAAGTTTTGACCTGGTGACTTGAATCTTGTTACGTAGTTTTGTTTTTGTTGTTTTTTTAGACGAGTTAATCCCTGTCAGTCATAATTTCTGTTAAATTAGTTAGTTTGAAGTTATTTTATTTGTATTTTTAGATGAAATGTTGTTGTTTTTTTACTTGATGAAAGAGTTTTTATGATTGCTTCTGAACCTTCTGCAGCTCAAAGCCTTTTCTCTCCCTTCCACCTTTTTATTTTCTCACTTATTGTCCCCGTTTGAACCAACACCCAGCACCTGTCCTTCCATCACCACCACCCAACCCCCCTGGAGGGGAGAGAGACAGACCTGGGTCTTATTTACTCCTTACCAGCTATATCATTATACTAAATCTATTGACTGAATTGGGATTTTTCAATAAAAATATCTGAGATACTGGCAGAAAGTTAGAGATTTAGAACAAGAAGAATTTGACGGACATGGACCCAGTTCTGGTACAGCCCTGCTGAGCTGTAGAAGGGACACAGAATCACATCAGAACCTGGTGTTTTGTTACCCAAAAAGCATCTTAAAACTCCAATCACAAGCAATCCTTAAATTAGAAATGGATGAGATTTCTTTTAAAGGCACAGCTGTGGTTTAATTTGATCTTTTCTCAGTTGTTTATGAAGCTAAAGATAGAAGTCTCGGGACTTCTTTGATAAGTTTTTCTCACGGTGCAAGATGCAGACACAACAACAGGTGGGAAACTTGAAACAAGTCAGATTTTTCAAGCATTTTTTGGCGAAAACAAAAGCARATTTTGAATCTGTGACAGGTTTTAAGATGCTATTGGTAGTCTAACCTCCAACGTATTGTTTACTGATTTACATCCAGTTCTAACAATCAGATGCAATGTGTTTGATTGTCGGGTGATGTGGGCGGGGTTTAACTCTGACTCTCTCCCGATCCTCCAATCGTCGTCTTCCGGCCCCACAGGGAAGATGGTGAAAAAAGTCTGCCCCTGCAACCAGCTCTGTAGTAACTATCTCTCTTTTTGATCTCTCCTCAATCCGTTCACCCCCACTAGCTTGCTCGCCAATGCTTCCTCCTCCTCTTCCTCCTCCTGCCCTGTGTTGAGTTTGACTCACATCTCCAATTAGCATCAGCTCAGTTCAGTTATTTCAGCTTCTCCACGAAGAGCTTCTAAAATTAAAGTTATTGATCTTTGAGTTTAATGACTGAAATAACTGACGTGATCCTTCGTGGTTGATTAAAAAACCTGACACTGCATGCAGACTCACACACAGTCCCACACCTGAGCAGCTGCTTCCCCCTCTGGCACCCCACCTCCTCCACTGACATGACTTGTGGGCTGGACTACCTCAACCCCATGTGGCTGCAGTCACTCATGACTCAGCGTCTCCTCATTATTTTCCTCCACGTTTGTTTACTAGAAACGGGCTGTCTTTTGCCACATTATCCCTCCCTACAACCCTCATTAAGCTTTTTTTTTTTCCTCTCGCCTTTTAAATCAATGTGAACAGATGGTGCAGTAGTTTCACACTCATGCTCGAGGTGTCGGCGTGGCTCTGGGTTCATTTTGTCTCAAACGATGAAGCTTTAGTCTCTTGTAATTAACTGGAAATTTATATAAATTATTTTTTTCTGATTTTAAAAAAGTATATATATGAATGGTGGATTAAAGCACTTGAGTTGTGTATTTATTTATCAGCCCTCATAGATCTGTAGGAAGCCCGTGTTTGCATTGTGTGCCGTTTTTTTTTTGTGCAAGGTTGATGAAACGTACAGAATCAGAGCGCCACCTAGTGTTAAAAAAGGGTTTTAGCACTTTAAATATAAGAATCGACATCTGTTCTGTTTGTTTCTGTGCTGAGATTAAAACAYAAGACCAGAATCATTATTAAATCATTATTTCCATCTAAACTGACCTGCTGACCCGTTGACCTGCCCCAAAACTCCAACTCGACCGACCTCTGCTCTTCTCATGGCCAAGACCGAGCCAGCATCCTCCCTCATCCCGATAACATCAGTTTCAGATTTCTGCCCAAGCAAACAGAAAATCTCAAATCCTTTCTGCTTTCCTCTCCTCTCTCCTCCTGTCTCCGTCCACAGGGACTAACAGCACCAATGCTGTGAGCGGTTCAGGTGCTCTGGATCAAAGCCAGGGGGGCTCTCAGTATTTGGCGCCCAACATGCCGGCCCCCAACCAGCGGAAGGGAACCTTCACCGATGACCTTCACAAGCTGGTGGACAACTGGGCCAGGGACGCCATGAACCTGTCACAGGTTTGCTCCTGTTTGTTCAAACATTGACGCATGAATTAAATAATCTAAACTTTAAATGGCAGATTAATAAAATAAATGATTAGTGGTGTAAACAAACCACAGCCTCTGGACTTTTGATGCTTTTAAAACAAAATTCTGACTTTAATCTATTAACTAATTCAGAYTCTCWAATGTTAACATAATTAAAAAGCTTAAAATGTTTTTTTAAATAAATTAAATAAAAATATGTAGCTTTTTAAGCAGTGTAAACACAATGAAACACATCTAACTAACCTTGATAACCTAATAATCTGGTTTATTTTTTTAAATCGCCTTCCTAATCTTTGCTTGTTCAAAGGTGTGTCTTCAATTTATTTTGTACAGTTTTATATAATATTTATTACATATTGTGATTTTTTAAGGGTAAGAAGAGTGCCAAACAGCAGCAGCAGCAGGCTCCACAGGGACACAGCTATGAGGTGAGGGGGAAAAACACATCAACCTGTTTAGTTTACCTCCAAAATTCAGTTTAGCAAAACAAACATCAAGAGTTTTATTTATGCTTTGATTAAACATTTGTTTTAAATCGTGCAGTGCAAGGGAAAAAAAGGCAAAAGACAAATTATAAGCAAACAAGTTCATAGAAAAGCTTCCAGAAAACTGATGATCACTTTAAATGGTTACGAGATGAGGGATGACTTAAGACTTTTACACAGAAACAAGCTAAAGTATCTATTAAAGGGAACCAAACTAGYTGTAACTTAAGACATTATTTGATAAACATTTGCTGTTTAGTTTTTGTAAATTTTAGAAAATACATTGTCATACAGA